GAAGTTTGTCTGAGCCCTGCTCTAACCCTCCTCTCCCACCTGTCAGGGCCAGCGGAGTTCCCTGTGCAGCAGTGGGGATGACGCTTGTCCCTTTGTGACAGACAGGGAGCTGCCCCAGAGCATAGAGTGTCCATCGATGGGCATGCAGGTGGCCTGTTGAGGAATGCTCTCTCCAGGAGGAATCTTTCTCTCTCCTGTCTGACCCTCTGGGCTTCCTCATCCCAGCAATGGCATCCGGGGAGCCCCTGCACATAAAGAGCCCCCTCCGCGACAGTATGGCCCTGTCCAAAGTGGCTGACACCAACGTCTACCTCAAGATGGACAATTCCCAGCCCTCCGGCTCCTTCAAGATCCGAGGCATCGGGCACTTCTGCAAGACGGTATGGAACAGGGTCCAAGGGCCCTGGGTGGGAGCGGCAGGTGATGGAGACACTGGGTGCGAAAGGAGGCGTGCCTGACCCTCTCTCTCCTCTCCGCAGTGGGCTGAGAGAGGCTGCCAGCATTTTGTCTGCTCCTCGGGTCAGTGACCGCTTCCCCCTGTCCTCAGCTAGGTCCGGGGCTGGCCCTTCGCCTCTCTAGGTCTCCTTTTCCCAGCGATGCTCTGTTCACACATGCGCAGCAGCCCTGGATCTACGCGACATCCAGCGCTCACCTAGGGCTGCCAGGGGTGGGAGGTGGGATATCTAGCGCCAACCGGAGCCCTACGTGGACACAACTTCCTCTCGCCCTAATAGCAGGCAACGCAGGCCTGGCCGCGGCCTATGCCGCTAGGAACCTAGGCATCCCGGCCACCATCGTGGTGCCCAGCACCACGCCGTCCCTCACCGTCCAGAGGCTGCAGGATGAAAGTGCCATGGTCAAGGTGGTGGGCGAGGTGTGTGCCGGGTCTGGCAGCGGCGGAGAGGGCGGCTGGCGGGACACAGGGTCCCCACAGCCTCACCCCACTGCTCCCTGTGACTCTGCAGACGTTGGAGGAAGCCTCCGTACTGGCCAAGGCGCTGGCCAAGAACAACCCAGGCTGGGTGTACGTGACCCCCTTCGACGATCCCCTCATCTGGTGAGTGGAACACCCCCCTCCCCCGCAACTCCTACCCCGTCTGTGACGCTCCAGGCCACAGGAGCTGGCTCAGAGCGCGGGATGTGCACACAAGTGCCAGCGGCGGGGTCCCTAGGAGCAGACTAGGAACAGCAGACAGTTCCTTAGGAAGGTGACTTGGTGAGGGGTGTGTGTGAAAAAGCAGGTACAGGGACGCTCGGGGCCTGGGAACCGCGGAGGGTAGCTGCGGCTCAGGACCTGGGGACACCATCCCAGCCAGGGCAGAGCGCGCAAGCGCAGTGGGGGATTCAGGCGCCCTGGTACTGTTCCCAGGCTGGGGCAGCTCTTGTGAGCGCCATCTACTGGGCATCGGCGTACGTGCAGGCAGCCCCGGAGGCCCCAGCTGGGCTGGGTCACGGTCCTGGTGTCCCCCGATACCCAACCCTAAGAAGCCACCGCCCTCTGCCCTCTAGGGAAGGCCACATGTCGGTTGTGAGAGAGCTGAAGGAAGTGCTGAGCACCAAGCCGGGAGCCATCACGCTGTCCGTGGGCGGCGGAGGCCTGCTGTGCGGCGTGGTCCAAGGTCTGCAGGAGGTGGGCTGGGGGGATGTGCCTGTCATCACCATGGAGACCATGGGTGCCCACAGCTTCCACGCGGCCACCACAGCCGGCAAGATTGTAACCCTGCCCAAGATCACCAGGTGAGAATGTGCGGGAGGAGCCCTATTTCACAGGGCTGGAGACTGAGGCCAGGGCGCTGGTACTGGACAGACTGGTCAATAAACAGCTCAGGATCCCAAGGAGTCCCAGTCCTGGCCCCAAACTTTAGAATTACGTTTAGGCCACTGCACACAGGAACTCAGAACATGATTGAACTTCATTTCTGTCTTCTGGGAAACAGTCCAGAAATAGGCAATCTAGGGGGAACTCTGTGGAGTCCGGGCCCAGGTTCCTTGAGTCTATTGCCTCATTATCCTTATAAGAAGTAGCTTGTGGAGTGCCAACTACCACATCCAAATCCATCTGTCAGGAGAGAGGACGCAAGGGGCAGAAGGCGATGCCCCGCCTTGAAAGGCAGACAAAATAAAGCTACTCTTTGACTTGCAATGTGATTACATCCCAATAAACTTGTCTTTCATATAGTCAAGAACAAGCTGACTATACCTGCCCTTACTTAGCAGCATAGTCTACCGCACTGCCGTTATTTCTGTCTGTGATCAAACAACTTGCCGCTGCTGTCCAGCATTGCAAGGGAGAATTATACTATAAACTGTTAACCTAGGAAAAGGTCCAAATTCAAATGTGGAAGTACAGTTTGTACTGAATTCATATCACTTTTGCACCATCATAAGCCTAGTAAATGGCAGGCAAACCATCCTAAATAGGGACTGTACTTCCTCTTGTCTCTCATTGGCCAGTACCTAATCACGTGACCACACCTAGCTGCAAGGGATGCTAGGAAGTGTGTCTACTGGGTAGGTCCATGTGCGGCTGGAACAGTTTCTGTCACAAATAGGGAAGACTGAGTCTAAGTAAGAATATCTAGACTTCTAAGTCCAGCACCTGGAACCTGCTATGCTGGCCTCCTACCTCTACAGTTGGGATAAAAGTCACTACTGAGTGCCTGTCGTGAGTCACAGGCTGTCTCAGAACCAAGACAGGACAGGGACAGGATACTCACAACACACCTGTTGGCTTCCAAAATGGTGCATCTTGGGATGAAGCTCAAGATGTCAAGGGCCTCTTTAAGGAGATGAACTGGGAGCAGAACTGGTGTCACCTAGGGGAGGCCATGAGGCCCATGTAGGGCTTGGAGCTCCAGCATCCTACTCAGGGCCCCAGCACCACCACTCCCTTGACACGTGACCTTGAGCATGTGACTTTACACTCACTTGTTTCACCTTCATAAAATCAAGCCAACTCATAATGGCAGAGATGGAAGGCAATCATGCTGTGGGGCACTTGGTACCTAGGACATCCATCTTCTGGAAGCACTGACTGAGTTAGCTAGGACGAGGAGGTGGTTGGAGAATCCCTCCTGAGCCTTCAAGGCTGGGCGACCCTGGATCGGGCAGGCAGACTCAGTGAGGGGGAGCCCAGGGAGGTCCTGGGGGGAGGAAAGGGGATCCTTGGGGGCCTTTACTCCAGGTCAGTGTAGAGCGCAGTATGATGTGCTTTGCCCAGGTCAAACACTCTGTGCCTTCCTTGACCCCAGGTCTCCAGGGGCTGGGGCTTTGCCCTCCTGTGCTTCCTTGGGCCCACAAGCCTGCCTCTCCATCCACCTCTCCACCTCCCTCCCTCTCCAGTGTTGCAAAGGCCCTGGGCGTGAACACAGTGAGCGTGCAGGCTTTGAAACTCTTTCAAGAACACCCCATCTTCTCTGAGGTCATCTCTGACCAGGAGGCTGTGGCTGCCATTGAAAAGTTTGTAGGTAGGTGCAAATCTCCAAGGCCCGGCCTGCTGCTCTGGGGACTGAGTGGCTGCTGCCCAAGTGCCATGGGATCCAATCGCCCCAAGTTTTCCATTCTGATACATCCCAGCCTAGGACATGCCAGTAGTGGGGGATGAGAGTGCTGCCATGGTGAAAACAGAAATGCTAAAGCCACTCAGGGGGCAGGGAGCCTGGTAACCATGACAGTGGAGAACAATAACTGAATGTTTAAAATGTTGATTCTGAGCTTCCTCGTAGGCAGGGTAAAATAGGAAAGGATGGGCCAGAGTTGGATTTGGAGGTGCTAATGTAACTGAACTCTTTCTGAGCTCAGCCTAAGACAGGGATAGCAAAGGAGAGAAAGAAGGAAAAAGTAAAGAAGCCTAGGGTGGGGGAGCACACCTCTAATCCCAGCATTCAGGAGGCCGAAGCAGGAGGATCACTGCAACTTTGAGGGGCTGGAGCTGGAGCTCAGTGGAAAGGCCGGCGGTTCCATTCCATGGTTGGGGGAGGGTGTGCTTAGGCTACGGTGTGATTCTCCTGAACCTGCAGCCAGCCTGGCTAATTAGCTGACCCTGTGCTCAGCTCATGCCTCAGAGTTCTTATTAACCCCATCCCCCAGCAATTACTACAGTCGTTGAGTCTTGGCCTGGCTTGGGCTTGACCAGTCCTGGAGAGAGAGCTTTGGTCCAAGAATTGAGCGCACTGCAAGAGCTGAGAGCTGATTGGCTCATGGCACCCACGTTCTACCAATGGCCTGACAGGTCCCTTGGCCGGGGCTGAAAGTTGATTGGCTCGCGCACCCCCAGCTCCACCCATGGCCTCAAAGCCCCCTCTTGCACCGACCCTTCCCTGCAGATGATGAGAAAATCCTGGTGGAGCCCGCGTGTGGGGCTGCACTGGCTGCTGTCTACAGCCACGTGGTCAAGAGGCTGCAGGCCGAGGGCAAGCTGCAGTCCCCGCTGTCATCACTCGTGGTCATCGTCTGCGGAGGCAGCAACATCAGCCTGGCTCAGCTGCAGGAGCTCAAGGAACAGCTGGGCATGAACGGGTCGTCCAAGGGAGGACCCAGGCCCGTGCTCTCACCCTGAACAAGATTTGGGGTCTGGGGTGTGCTGTCCCTGGTGGCCCCTTAATGTCAGCAGCAAGACCATGAACTGGACCTCTTGGGGACCGTGTGACCACTCTGAATGTCCTCGGTCACAAGTAACACATCAGGTCCCCCAGAGCAGGGTGGCACAGGGGTCCCCCGAGTGTGGCCCCGCCCCAGGCTTTCCCCATCGGAGGTTAAGGACCTGTCTCATCCATTCTCCAGGAAGTCCAGCTCCGTCCTAACTCGTTTTTGCACTTTTTTACTGAGAAAGAAAAATATAGGGCTGGAGAGATAGCTCAGTGACATAAGAGCCTACCTGGCAAGCGTAAGGTCTTGAGTTTGATCGCCGGTACAATAAATAAATAATATATATATATATATATATATATATATATATATATATATCAAAGACACTTGGAGAATTCCCATCACCATCTCGTCCTCCATGCCCTCTGCCTTCGCGGTGGCTGCTTGGCACCAGTCCTGAGCAGGAGCCGACATCCCACATGTGAAGGGATACGCTGTGGGATGGCCAGGGGCTGGTGTACTGTGGAAGGCAGGGGACTAGGGTGGGCCACAGGTCATCTGCCCTGTTGAGAGAGCCAGCTTGGGGCCGGGGAGGAAGACAAGGCCATCTCGTTCAGATTCAAAGCCCCTCCTGAGAATAACTGTGTCACTGGGGGCAGCGCTGTGAGCCCCCAGCCCAGGGGTGTGTACACCCAGGGAACCCCATCCCTGTGATGGGAAGGTGGGGTGAAGTGTCACTAACTTGCTTGAAACATGGACTTCTCTCTCCACATGAAGTCCACACATAAAGCATGAGAAGCTGGCTTAGGCTGGTGCCCGCCTGTTGTCCCAGCTACTCAAGAGGCTGAGGCAGGGGAATGGCAAGTTTGAGCCCAGCCTAGATAACTTACCAAGACTCTGCCTCAAAATAAAGAACTGGGGATGTGTTTCCGGGGCCGACTGATTCCCTAGCAAGCGCAAGACCCCAGGTGCTTTCACTGGCTCTGCAGATACAGACATGCCTGTGCGTGCGCACATGTGCCAGACGGACTCAGGGCAGGGGGAGCCTCTTCTCCCAGTGTTCTCGGAAATGCTGAGGTGGAGCCAGCTGGAAATTAAGTTTTTAAAACTTTATGTTAGAGCCAGTGAGAGAGCTCAGGGCACTAAGCACCCGCTTAGGCCAGCGCAGGGACAGGGGTTCGATCCCCTGTACCACATGCTGCACCAGCCCGCGGGCACACTGCGTTAGCCACTGAGACTGGGCGTGGAGATGCACATCTGTAATCCCAGCACTGGGGAGGCTGAAGCAGGAAGATCACTACAAATTCGAGCTGCATAGCAAGATCCTGTACCAAATACATAATTTTTTTTTAAAAAAACCTCCATATTAACTTCCCACAGTGCATATAATTAATGCAACTGTTATATATAGCAAATACTAATAGAAGTTTTAAAACTTTAGAAATTGCTCGACATGGTGTCACACACCTGTATTCTAACACCCAGGAGGCTGAGGCAGGAGGATCATTGTGAGTTCAAGGCCAATCTAAACCACATCATTGAAAGCCTAGCTCAAAAAAAAAAAAAAAAAAAAAAAAAAAGATCATAGCT